TGTTATCTTTGTCTCTAAATGTAGTACTTGCCAGATAGTCAAGATTGATCATCAGAGACCGCCAGATTCTTTACAGCCACTACCTATACCAGAGTGAAAGTGGGAAAGCATTTCTATAGATTTTATGGAGGGATTACCTAATTCATTTAAAGACCATAATTGAATTGGGTCATCGTTGATAGGTTGACCAAATTAGCTCATTTAGGATCGGGATTCAAGCTTTGTATTGGGATTTTAGAAGAGTTTTTAGCAGGCTTTGGGTACAAAGTTGCATCTTAGCACTACTTACCATCCTCAGACTGATGGACAGACCGAGAGGGTTAATCAGATCATGGAGGATATGCTTCATTCTTGTGCCCTTGACTTTAAGGGCCATTGGGAGAAGTATTTGCCACTTGTGGATGGCACCGTTTGAAGCATTATATGGCTGACCTTGTGAATCTCCTATTTGTTGGATGGAGGTTGGTGAGAGCAGAATTTTGGGTCTTGAGTTCCTTAGGCTGGATACCTCAGAGAAGATCGCTCTTATTAAGGATTGTATGCGCACTGCTAAGAGTAAGCAGAAGAGTTATGCAGATCGTCATACTCGTCCATTGGAATTTCAAGTGAAAGATTAGGTTTTACTTAAAGTGTCTCCTATACAGGGAGTAATGCGCTTTGGGAAGAAAGGGAAGTTGTCACCATGTTTCGTCTGTCCTTTCATGATTATGGATCTAGTTGGAGCTGTAGCTTATCGGTTAGCACTTCTAGATCATTTACATTGGGTCCGTAATGTGTTCCATGTTTCCATATTGCAGAAATTTCTTCGAGATGAAGATCGTTATCAGCATATTAATGTTGGTGAGATTGAGTTCCAGCCGGATGCAACCTATGTGGAACCACCGTGTCATATTGTAGACTGTAGGGATCAAATTTTTCGCAATAAAGTCATCACTTTAGTACGTGTCCAGTGGAGCCATCATAATGAGGCTGAATCTACTTGGGAACGGGAGGATGTCATTCACTCAATAGTTTCAGAAATCATGGAAGAAGGTAAGGGCGAATTCCGAGAACGAAATTCTTTTTGTTAGGGGGGAAAAAGGTAATACCCCTAATTTTAAAAGGATAGTCTCAGTATTATTTTGAATATTTTAGTTACATTTTATTTATTTATTTGATTATGTGATTATTTGATTATGTGGTTATTATTACGTGTTTAATTGAATTATTTAATTAAATATTTTAATTGCTTAAATGTGTCATTTGACTTAATTGATTATGTGCTTGAATGTTATTTGAATTAGTTGGTTTAATTAAGGTGTTGTTTATTTGAAATAAATCGTAGATTAAAAGTTTCTTTTGTTTTATTTTATTTTATTTTTATGGTTAGTAGTAATGGGTCAACCAATTGGGTTCCATGGACTACTTGGATAGGAGGTTTGATAGGTACAGATAATTACCCATGGAAAGTTGAATATGTATATATAGATGTATATATCTATATATAATAGGAAAGTAATTTATTAATTAATGTTATGGTAACATTAATATTAATAAATAATCTGATGTATGTATATTTATATATTTATATAATAAGAATATACATATATTCTACGTAACATATTTTAGTTACCTTTTGAATATTTTAATTTTATTATTTTCTTTATTAATTTGACTTTGATTGGGAAAATGAGTAGGGTTATTATTTAGCCTATAAATATTGAACTATAGGGTTGAAAAATGGGACTAGAAATATATCACGTAATATATTTTAGAGAGATAGAGAAATAAGGAATAAGAAGGAAGAGAAAGAAGAAGAAGGGGGCTAGGGTTTTTATGAAATCCCTAAAGGTAAGTTCTTGTTCTACACTTCTCCTTTAATCTATGAACTATGTATCTAGAGTATAATTTTAGGATTGTTTAAAGAACAATTAAAACTAAAATCTATAATTTAATTGATCTAGAACATAGGTTTTATGAATTTTGTTCATAATTGTTCTTGTTGTATGAATTGATAAATTCATAGATTTGATCTGGTTTGTTTATGAATTTTTACATGTTTTAAATGATGTAATTTCATATCTGTGTATTGACGGACTTAGAAACATGCCTTAGAATCCTTAAACAGTGACGAATGATTTACAGTAGGATTTCTGGGTTAAATCGCGTAACAGTACTCGATCCGTTGTTACAGTACTCGAGCCTTGGAAATAGAGCTCGAGCCATAGGTGAAAAGCTTGAGCCTTGGATGCAAAGCTCGAGCTATTGATGTAAAGCTCGAGCCATGAACAGGAAGCTCGAGCCATGGATAGAAACCTCGAGCAATTAGGACGAAAGCTCAAGCCTTACCTGGGAAATTTTCGTAAATAGCGTTAAATTGTTATTAATTGATTTTGAAAGGTCCTGAACATTAAATATGGACTAGTTATGAGTTTAAATAAATTCCAAATAGACTTAATTATAACAATACATGAATGGATTTAATCTTTTTTATTTGTTCTAGCAATTGAGATTAAATGATTAGCATGAATTGTATTTGCAGAATGCTTACTTGACTGTATAGTAAAATATCAGCATGTTTAAGATTCAGTTTGTGTAGGATATATAATGTAGGAAGCTTAAATAAATTATAAGTCATTCCTATTTTGTGATAGCATGATATTCTGTTATTATGTTTATTTCTAGGTTATTTGATGTACTTCTTTAATTGTTACATCAACTATTGGATTGTGTGGATTTAATGCACCAGTATGAGATGGTGGCATTCTAGGGACGGATTAACTTATCAGTTAAGTCCCACCTAATTTTGTATAAGTGAATGGATTAACTAAAATGCTAAGTCCCGCTTATATTCGTGTCAGGTCAACTGAACAAGTTGGATGATATATCGTGGTTTATTTTATATTGGATAGGATATATGTTATATATATGTGTGTGTGTGTGTGTGTGTGTGTGCGCGCGCGCGCCATGATATGAGCTTGAGCCTCAAGATTAGTGCTTAGGGTGCGTATATTGCTAAGGATGTGCAGCTAGATATAGTGCTCGTAGGTCTAGATACTCATGTCCACTATATGTGTATTTTGCATGTTGCCTACTATTCAGGTTGAGGCAACCTTATAGTCTAGTGAGGTTCCTTTAGTGTGTATATGTATTTATGGACTATGTAGTTATTACATGAGTTAGTTATAGATATTTAGTTTCTCCGATTTCTGTTTGGGTTATCGTAGAAAGAACTTGTTCGTGGGCCTGAGCCACTATTATTTTTCAGGTTTTCGTTAGTTTCAAACATAGAGCTTGTTTATGCTAAGTAGAGACATTCCACATCATTCTCCCGATTCTACGTAGGATTCTTCTTCATGTTTAGTTTCGGATTATATTTCATTTTAGTTGTTTCAGTTGGGATATTATTAGGAGTCCACTAAATGGATTCCTGAGTTGTAATGATATCAGAGGTTTTGGATATTTCATTTGAAGGATTCATTATTTATTTATTTAAGGATTTATTATTTAGTTTCTTTCTGTTATTTGATTTATTCTTAGTTATTTCTTTTGTAATCAAATGCTTGTTTATATACTTAATTGTTTGATATTCCTCGGATTTGTGCTCGGACTTAATCACTCATGACTCTAGAATTGAGGGGTATCACAGTTGGTATTAGAGCACTCCAGGTTCAAGTTTCTCTATGATTCTTTCGTACAAGAATTTCGCACAGTGTATTCTTCTATTTAGAGCCTAAGTTTAAGATTCATTGTATTCCTTTACAGTCCGCTTAAATCGTACTGATGTTTGTCCTTATGTGTTAACAGAATGGTTAACGCTAGAAGAAAACGGGACAATCAGAGAAACAATCAGCAAAGGGGAGCGGCACGTAAGCAGCAGGATTTCCTACGATGTCAGCAAATTGAGGAAGAGCAACAACTGCCTAGGTTTCAGGAGGAGGAGTAGGAGGAAGACGGTCAATTGCACATAGAGCAAGAGGAAGTCCAGCAGACTCAGGAATCTCAGGATCGGGGCTACAATCAGGGCAAGGATCCAAAGTATCCTCCCCATATAAACGACCTCATTGCTCGGTCTATAGAAGCAGGTGTAGGAGTTATACTTCGCAATCAACCACAGGTTTAGCACACACCTATACCAGCACTAGTGGTTCAAACAGATCCTTGGGAGAAGGTTAGGAGTTCTTTCACAAAGGGGAGCCCACCTGAGTTCTCAGGCTCCACCAATGCGAAAGTAGCTCACCAATGGAAGAAGGACATCGAGCGACATCTTCACATGGTTAAGTGCACAGAGGTTCAAAAGCAGATGTTTGCTACCTTCAAGCTTGTCGAAGATGCACTCCAATGGTGGGAGTCTGTTACTACCGTAGAGGAGAGGACTTCATTGACCTATAATTGATCAGTTCAGTACTCGCTTCATAAAAAGAACTTGTTCGTGGGCCTAACCCACTATTATTTTTCAGGTGTTCGTCAGTTTCAGACATAGAGCTTGTTCGTGCTGAACACAGACAGTCCACACCGTTCTTCCAATTCTACATAGGATTCTTCTTCATATATATTTAGTTTCGGATTATATTTCATTTCAGTTATTTCAGTTGGGATATTATTAGGGGTCCACTTGATGGATTCCGAGTTATAATAATATTGGAGGTTTTGGATATTTCATTTGAAGGATGAATTATTTATTAATTTAAGGATTTATTATTTAGTTTCTTTTTGCTATTTGATTTATTATTAGTTATTTCTTTTGTAATCGAATACTTGTTTATAAACTTAATTGTTTGGTATCTCTCGAATCTGTACTCGGACTTGATCACCTGTGGCTCTAGAATAGAGGGGTATCACAATCGGCAGTTTGTGACTTTGTCGGATTGAGGTTCAATGTTCATCAATCGACAATTTTGACTTGGTTGGATTGAAATTCAAGGCCCATCGACCGAAGGCCTAGGTCCCATGCCTTATGGGCTCTCGTCAATTAGTTGCATGCCTTTACTGGGCTGGCTAGAGCTTTATCATCGACCAAGTGTTGGCCATTTTGTCTTCTTGTCCGGACCCGGCACTAATGTGGTGTCAACTTGATTTTAACTTTTGATGACGTGGCATAAACCATATCCACAACGTTCTATAAGTTTTAAACTCGACTCATAGATCATTCTTAGAAATTCCATGCCAACTCAGCTATTTCGTGAATTATGTTAATCACTTTTTTTTTTTTTTTTTCTGTTTTTTTCCATGTTACTACCGCATTATAAAAGCTATCAAAATTGAAAGTCTGAGAGGAGAAATCATCCCAACAATTATTATTGCTTCATCGATCATAAATGTTTGAATATTGAACCTTACATCAATAAGCCAACTTCCCCAGCTAAACCCCAAACAACCAATCAAATATGGAAATTCACAACTAGAACGAGAGAGAGAGAGAGAGAGAGAGAGAGAGAGAGAGAGTTCAACTGGGAAAATGAATGTTGAAATTCTAGAGAGAGGGAGAGAGAGGAAATGAATGTTGAAATTCCAGAGAGAGAGAGAAGGAGAGAGAGAGGAAAAATGCATGCTGAAATTCAAGAGAGAAAGGGAGAGGGGCATGAATTTTGAAATTCAAGAGATAGGAAAAATGCATTTTTTTTTTTTTTTTTTTTTTTTAACTTACCAAAAAAAAAATGAATGAAATATTTTTTTTTTTTTTTTTTTTTTGAGCGGTAGGGAAAATGCATGTTGAAATGAGAGAGAGAGAGAGAGAGATGGAAAATGCATGTTGAAATTAAAGAGAGAGAGAGGGGGGAAATGCATGTTGAAATTCAATCTTCCATTCGTTTCTTCTTCTCTTCTTCCGACTCAAGAAGCTCCTCCAACACACTGTCATCCAAATATTCGAGCTCGAGGACTTGTTTTTCTTGACCAGTCGATGAAGCACCAACACTAGAAGAAGATGATGCTGATGAAGATGACATTATTGGTGCATGAGGATATTCACTAGGGAAATTTAAGACTGCAAGAGGACCCCTCAGCCTAAATGCAGCTCGGTCATAAGCCCGAGCAGCCTCCTCCGCCGTATCAAATGTACCAAGCCACACCCGTCCACTCTGGGTACTTGGGTCCCGGATCTCCGCCGCGAACTTCCCCCACGGCCGCCTTCGAACTCCCCGGTATCGAACTTCTTCTCTTTCCTTCTCTTGTTTTTCCTTTCCTTTAGAAGGCTCTTCCATATATGCTCAAATATTGCTTTTAACCTTCTTTTGTTTTCAAAGTGTATGATGGCTTATACAAATGATGTTATTTATATATAGTTCAGATGTAAAACAGTAGAAAAACAGTCAAAACAATTAAAAAAATTATTTTTCTATATGTGCCTTTCATGGAACATAGAGTTTCTTGTGTAGTAGTATTAAAATTCGATTGTTCCGACTCAATCTCTGGGGAATTCAAAGAAACTTTCTGGGACACTTTTCACTGTTAAGCATTTATTATATAATGCTTTGGATGGAATATTATGTAATAGATTTTTTTTTTTTTTTTTGAATGGTAATATGTAATAGATTTTGCTGCACAAATAATAGTGAAGTTTTCCTAGTGACAAGATTAAACAAGATTAACTTACCAAAAAAAAAACAAAAAGATTGAACAAGATTAATGTATATTTTATTGTAATGACAGTGAAGTATATACAATTTTATATGCAGGTTGCATGACGTGATCACTATATTATTAAAGTTGGCAACTTAGGTCAAAAAAAATTTCATGAATTCATGAAGAAAATTTTTGACGGACACGTGATACATTTGATTTGCTATAATTTAGATGTGATGGTATGAATTTAAATAACGCGCAAGGATCAATCACACAATTTTCATAGTTTAAAAAATATTAAAACAAGAAAATTAGGACATTTTTAATTTCATCAACAGCTACCTGTAAACATCATTGACATCTTTTACTATAAATCGTACAAAGAATAAAAAAAAAATTGATCAAAACAATCAAGCAATTAATTATAAGGAATAATTTCATTTTTGACAAATTTTTGAGTCAATATTCAACAGAAGAATTTACGGGGGAAGAAAAAATTCAACAGATAGAACCTATTCTAATTTTATTGAGTGAAATGTCACATAATAACACAAAGTAATTTCGTATTTGACAACATTAACCTAAGGAATTTCATAATTGACAAGCGTTCATTTTTCACACTTGGTCCAAATTACCCCCACATTTTTTGGATTATTGCCCAATTACCTCTTCCTTTCTCTATGTCTATATCTCTCTAAATATATATTACAAACATGCGCGCGCACGCACACACATATCTATACTATTATTAAATGTGCAAAATGTTTTAGTATTTCAGTATTTCAGTATTTATTTATTTATATAAAAAAAATATTTATTAATTGATATAAAAATAATTTTTCTAAAAATAATGTGCAAAGTGTTGCAGTATTTATTTATTTATATAAAAAAATATTTATTAATTGATATAAAAATAATTTTTCTAAAAATAGTTTCTATAAAACTTTAAAAATTACCTAATAAAATTAATCACATTGTATATAAAACTCTTATTTTTAGTTATTTTTTATGGATAATTATAGTTTCTATAAAACTCTAAAAATTATCTAATAAAATCAATCACATTCTATATAAAACTCTTATTTTTAATTATTTTTTATAGATAATTATCACAATATAACCGCCAAAAGGACACATGTCATCATCCTATTCATCCAAGAAGCCTATAAATAGAGACATGGAGGAAGGAAGAAGGGGTACAGAAATTAAGAATTCTAGAAATCCAGAATTCCAGAGTAAAATACAGAAGCTCCTGCTAAAGAGTTTCAATAATTCAGTATTTATTTATTTATTTATATAAAAAATATTTATTAATTAAGTTGAATTTCAGAGTAAAATACAAAAGCTCTGTCAAGAGTTTTCAGTATTTATTTATTTATATAAAAAAATATTTATTAATTGATATAAAAAGATTTTTTATCTATATTATTATTAGATGTGTAAAGAGTTTCATTATTTATTTATATAAAAAAATATTTATTAAATGATATGAAAAGAGTTTTTACTAAAACAAAAAAAAAAAAAAAAATTTATAAAACAATAAAATCTACATAATAAAATTTAAATTAACCTATTTATCTATTTATTATTTACCATTTTTAATAAAAGAAAATCTAATTAGACAAGATTTATTAATATAAAAAATATTTATTAATTGATATATAAAATAAAATAATTTTTATAAAACTCTACCACAAATTAGTTTTTATTATAAGTATCTTAATAAAATTAAAACTAATTAGACAAGTATATATTTAAAGAAAATAAAATAATTTCAATAAAACTCTATTACAAATTACCTATTTTATTATCAATAAAACTCTATCAACAAAGATATATTTAAAGAGTTTGTATAAAATTCTAACACAAATTACCAATTTATCAATTTATCATGAGTTTTTTTAATAAAAGGAAACCTAATTAGACAAGTATTATTAATATAAAAAATTATTTATTAACCGATACAAAAGAAGGTTTTTAAAGAGTTTTTAAAACACAAATTACCTATTTATCTATTTATTTTGAGTTTTTTTACTAAAAATAAATCTAATTAGACAAGAATTATTAAAATAAAAAATATTTATTAATTGATATAAAAAAAGTTTTTAAAAGAGTTTATATTAAACTCTAACACAAATTACCTATTTATTTATTTATTACAAGTTTTTTAATAAAAGAAAATCTAATTTACCTAATAAAACCAATCACATTCTATATAAAACTCTTATTTTTAGTTTTTTTTTTATGGATAATTATAGTTTTTATAAAAATCTAAAAATTACCTAATAAAATCAATCATATTTTATATAAAACTCGTATCTTTAGTTATTTTTTATGGATAATTATCACAATATAACCGGCAGTTATGATTATGTTATTATCAGAAAAGGATACATGTCATTATCCTATTCATCCAAGAAGCCTATAAATAGAGGCATGGAGAAAGGAGGAAGGGGTACAAAAATTGAAAATTCTAGAAATTTAGAATTCCAAAGTTGATATAAAAAGAGTTGAATTTCAGAGTAAAATACAGAAGTTTTGTCAAAGAGTTTGAATATTTCAATATTTATTAATTTATATCAAAAAATATTTATTAATTGATATAAAAAGAGTTTTTATCTATACTATTATTAGATGTGTAAAGAGTTTCAGTATTTATTTATTTATGTAAAAAAATATTTATTAAATAATATGATAAAACACTAAAATCTGCATAATAAAATTTAAATTAACTTATTTATCTATTTATTATTATCAATTTTTTAATAAACTAAATCTAATTAGACAAGAATTATTAATATAAAAAATATTTATTAATTGATATGTAAAAGAAAATAATTTTTATATAACTCTACCACGAGTTTCTTAATGAAATTAAATCTAATTAGACAAGTATATATTTAAAGAAAATAAAATAATTTCTCTAAAACTCTATTACAAATTACTTATTTTATTTTCCATAAAACTCTATCAACAAAGTTTCTATAAAATTCTAACACAAATTACCTGTTTATCTATTTATTATGAGTTTTTTTAATAAAAAGAAACTTAATTAAACAAGTATTATTAATATAAAAAATTATTTATTAACTGATACAAAAACAAGTTTTAAAAGAGTTTTTAAAAAACTCTAACACAAATTACCTATTTATCTATTTATTATTAGTTTTTTAATGAAACTAAATGAAATTAGACAATAATTATTAAAATAAAAAATATTTATTAATTGATATAAAAAGAGTTTTTAAAAGAGTTTATATTAAACTCTAACACAAATTACCTATTTATTTATTATAATTTTTTTAATAAAAGAAAATCTAAGTAGACAAGAATTATTAATATAAAAAATATTTTTAGTTGATATAAAAAATAAAATAATTTTTCTAAAATTCTACCACAAATTACCTTTTATTATGAGTTTTTTTTTAATAAAAGCTAATCTAATTAGATATGAATTATTAAAATATAAAAATATTTATTAATTCATGTAAAAAGAGTTTAAAACTATTTTCTATAATACTCTAACACGTATTACAAATTACAATTTTTTAATAAAAGAAAATTTAATTTTTAGAGTAAAATACAGAAATTCTACCAAAGTGTTTCATTATTTATTTAATTATATAAAAAAATATTTATTAATTTAAACAAAAAAAAGATTTTATCTATACAACTATTAAATGTGTAAAGAGTTTCAGTATTTAATTATCTATTTATAAAAAAATATATTTATTTATTGATATAAAAAGTATTTTTTTTAAAAAAATAAAAAAAAAAAACTCTATGAAACTCCAAAATCTATCTAATAAAATTTAAATTAACCTATTTATCTATTTATTATTATAAATTTTTTAATAAAAGAAAATTGAATTAGGCAAGAATTATTAATATAAAAAATACTTATTAATTGATATATAAAATAAAATAATTTTTCTAAAACTTTACCACTAATTAACTTTTATTATGAGTTTTTTAATAAAATTAAATTTAATTAGACAAGGATATATTTAAGGAAAATAAAATATTAAATGTGCAAAGAGTTTTAGTATTTCAATATTTATTTATTTATGTAAAAAAATATTTATTAATTGATATGAATAGAGTTTTTATATATAAAATAAATAAATAAATAAAGAAACGAAAAAAAAAAAAAAAGTCTATAAAACTCTAAAATCTACCTAATAAAATTCAAATTAACCTATTTATCTATTTATTATTATGAATTTTTTAATAAAAGTAAATCTAAAGTTTCAGTATTTATTTATTTATTTAAAAAATATTTATTAAATGTGGAATGAGTTTCAGTATATCAGTATTTATTTATTTATATAAAAAAATGTTTATTAATTGATATGAAAAGAGTTTTTATAGAAAAAAAACTTCTATAAAACTCTAAAATCTACCTATTTATTATTATGAATTTTTTAATAAAAGAAAACCTAATTTTCTGAGTAAAATATAGAAGTTGTGCCAAGGTGTTTAAGTATTTATTTATACAAAAAAATATTTATTAATTGATATAAAAAAAATTTTATCTATAGTATTATTACATGTGCAAAGAGTTTCAGTATTTAACTATCTATTTTTATAAAATAAAAAAAAATAAAAAATATTTATTAATTGATGTGCAAAGAGTTTT